CGCTGCCTTCGAAGAGCCCGGCGTGTCGAGGTCTGGCTGAAAGCGATGCACATGCGAAAGGATAAACTGTCAAAAAAGTCGATCTGGCCCTGTGCGCTCCCGCAACGGCCATGCAAAGGGGTAGGCAGCAGTGTTGCGGGCAGGCAGCTGCGTCGAGTTCCTTGCGCGATTGAGCATCAGCACCTGCGGCCGGGCCAGCACCCAGCGGAGGAGTGCAGCCCTGCACACACAACCGTGGCACATGAATGAGGACAGCAAGGCCTGCATCAGGGGGCCTGCAGACGCGCAGCGCTTGTCTGATGCGCCGTTGCTGGAGATCAGGTCGGCAGTTTTTTGAATTCCAGTAAGGTATCCAAGCAGCTGGGCCAGCTGGAGCTGACAGCTTGTTCTATTACTTAAGAGCCATCCACACATCGCATGATGCCCAGGTACTGCAGATGACATACAGTACTGCACCTGTGCCAATCCACACTTGACTGCCTGCAGGCAGGGGGGCTGCATATCGCAGCAGCCAGCCCCGCCCCCACGTAGCCCGCACAGCACGCGCAGCCCGCCTCCGCCCCCGCCCGCCTGCCGCGGCTCGCCGCCGGGCAGGCAGCGGCCAAGTCAGCCCCGGCGCCCCGCCTCAAACTTTGGGTATCTTCTTGAGGCCGGCCTCGATGTTGGCCCGCAGCTTGGGCACGCCGCCGCTGAACTCGTTTGCGCAGCCGTCCATGCACGAGACGACGAGCTCCTGCGCCCGCCGTATGTCCGAGTCTGACGGCTCCTTCCCAGCCGGCAGCGCCTCCTGGGCCCGATCCTGACAGCGCACCTGCAAAACATTGCCAACGGAAGGCCAGGCCCGAAGCCGTCCGATTAGGTATGCGAGTCGCACGGCCGCCGCGACGCCGTTTGCACGGAGTCGCGTCCGTGCAAACGGCGACGCAGGCAGGGCAACTTGCGGCCCGGAAACGACGCCGGGGGCCACCGCTGCCTGCGCCGGAGCCGCTCAGGGTGCCTCTCCACGGCATTATTGCAGTGGCTGCGCCTGCAAACCGTCCAGTGAGAGCTACTCGGCTCAGGAGAAGCTCACCAGGCAGCGCTGCATCCGCTCTTGGAAGTCCTGCAGCTGCCCGTAGAGCACCTGCTGTGCCCCCATGATCTGCCCCTGACAGCGGTCGGTGCTGGGGACGCGTGGCGAGGCGCGGCGCGCGGCACGGGGCGCGTGTGGGCGAGAGCGGAGGGGATCGCTTGTGAATTGTGCCAGCGGCTTCGAAGGTCGGCATCTGAAGGCTGCGGAGACGGCTCAACAACACTCTGCAACGCAGTCTCGCAGCAGCATTGAGGGCTTCACAGGCCGACGTGCTGGGATTGGCACCGGGCTCGCAGGCGAGGCGCTGGGCGGCCCACCACTGCTGTATCTGCGGCAGCGAGCTGTTCACGTCGCAACAGTTTGCGCTGCATTGGAAGGCCTGCGGGGCGGAGGCGCGGGGCCGTGGCGGCCAGCGCCGGGGAGAGGGGGGTTGGTGTGGAAGGCCTGCGGTGCGGCTTGCGGCCGGCGCGCTGCGGCGCGGGGTGCTCGCCTTCGCAGCATGCTCTCGCGGTCCGCCCGCCGGGCCTCACCGCTTTCTGCATGGGGATGAGGTGGCGCTTCTGCAGGTCTGACATGAGGCCCTCCACATCCTGGGGGCGCGCGCGGCATGTACGACTGGTGGCAGTCAACGTAGTGGCCGGGAAGCTGAGCACGTTCAGGAAGGCGGGCGATCATTCTTCCGGCAAACCGGTGGACACCGGGCCGGGCGCTACATCACGGCCGGTTGAAACGACGGTCTCTTCTGAAGGGGAGGCAGGCGGCCGTGACCACTGCAGCTGGTGGAGGCACGCGGCGAGCCACTACTGTAGCCGTTGGGGTGCGGCGGCATGCGGTCACCTTCTGCAGCTTATCTAGGCTTTGTGGAGGTGCCGCCATCAAAACACGCCTGGTTGGAGACCCAAAACAAGGACGTGCCGACGAAGGTGATCTGACAGCGCGACTGGGTGACTGCAAGGCGACTCGGGGGAATGACAGAGTGAAAGCGGGTAGATCTGAAGGCGATGCTGTGACAACAAGTATCGTATTTGGGGAGGCGAGTTGGCTTTGAGGCCATCGACGTGCGCCTGTGTGGTGACGTGGCACAGCCATCTTGTTTGACACTTCCTGTGTAGACTGCACCCCCGCAACGGTCCTTAGCAGTCCCCCCTAGAGTTACTCTTGCTATTAGATGCACGGATATGTGTGCACACAATCCTTGGTTTGCTTGAACTTCAAGGCTGAAGAGCTGCAACCGCCATTCATCCCAGTTTCTGTCGGTTCTCATCACGGAAACGCAGGTGAGGCGGCGGCACTTTGCTGGCGAGACTCCCTAGAACACATGCGCTGCCTAATTTTGACGCCCTGATTGCACCCATCGTGGGCGGCCCGCGCACCCCCTGTACCCCTCCCCAGGCCCACGAGACTGGGTAGCGCGGCTGGGTAGCGCGGCTGGGTAGTACCAGGCCCGCAGCGACTCCTGCCAGTGGGTCGACCAGAACTTCAACATAACGTGCCAAATTGTATTTGTGTGTGGTTGTGCGTGTGGGAGATTGTACTTGTGTGTGAGAGTGAGTTACGACACACTCTCACACACACGTGCAAACACGCACACGTGCACCCCTATGTACAGTCACAATCACAATCACACACACACACACACACACACACGCACACATACACATACACAAACACACACACACAAACACACACACACACATCAGAGCAGCAACACGTTGGCTGGGCCTCACTCACTGGTGAGTCGCACGCAGGCAAGGCGCAGAGCCGCTGTTGCCCCACTGTACCGGCGTCACTCGTGCGGCTCTGCAGCGGCCCTTGCAAACGTGGTGAGTTCTCTCTGATGTGTCCCCGACCAGCCAGCCCCGGTCGCTGCTTTCTGACGGCGCCCGTTATCCCACCCCAGTATCCGGGGATTGCCGCCGCAGCCATCAGCCCGCATACAGGGGTTGTGTGGACCCGCGCCAGCGTCGAATGCTGCAGGGCCTTGCGGGTGTACTACAGCTCGAGGTGTGCGAGCACGAACTGGGCACAAACAGGCGCCCCCCCTCATGTACGACAATCTGCCATGTAAGTAGCGCCGCCCCTAGCGGAGAAACCGCTAGGTCAACTGGCGCGCTACACCACAGGCGGTGCCCCTCCAGCAGGAACGTCGTGGTTGCATTATGTTACCTCGCACACGCATCGACAGTGCTGGTAAAAAAAATTGAGCGCGGGAGTAACACAATGTCCGCGGCGCATCCCAGGCTCGGCGCGGGGAAGCGTGCGCCAGTCTGGCTGGCGTCGGTTTTGGTGGGGAGTGGCGCGGGACACGAAGTCAGCGCGTTGGCCCCCGCGGCCGGCCGCGCCGACTCCGCCGGGTTGCGCCGTCCGCCCAAAGTTCGATTCACAATTGTAATGGAGGTTCAGCCGGGGTGCGAAGCGGAGGCACCGCCGGCGCCCTTGCTGCTACTGCTGCTGCTGCTGCCGCTGCTGTTTCTGCTTGTGCTGCTGCTGCTGCCTGTTCTGTTCCGCGACGCGCACGGTGCGGATGGATCTTGGTTCGTCTTTGGGGCACGAGCGCCCGTCGCCGTCATTGGTGGCAGCGCTGGGCCGCGGCCACGGCGCGGCCTGTGGCGGGCACGTCACGGGGTCGGCTGGCGCTACTGCGCAGCTGCCGGCCCTTCTGTGCGCAGTGGCTGGCGAGGCGAGTGGGGCTTGGCAAGAGCTACCGTGCTGCAACAGCCCAGCGACCGCGAGGCCCACGCGCTTGCGTGGTCGTGCACTCCTAGGCAAGCCGGCGCCCGAGCCGGGCCTGGGAGCGCGCCGCGCGCGGGCAATCTTGGCCGCGGCGGCGCACGCAGGGGGGGCTTCTTCCAGGGCGGGCCGGCGCCCCAGGAAGTGCAAGCGCGGGGCAAAAAGATGGCAGGGGGCAGCCGGCGGCGGCGCTCCGGGGCTGCGGGCGCCTGGGGGCGTGGAGGGGCCCGGCCGGGGGCGCCATAGGGGCTGCGACTGTAGGCAGCAGCGCGCCAGCGGCCCTGCGTGACAGGAGGCGAGCGGCGAGCGGCGAGCAGTAATGGGCGAGCGGCAAGCGCGGGGGCCAATCGGTCCCAAGGGAGCGAGCGTCCTTGCATGGATCCGGGAAAAAAATGCTTGGATGAGGCCAGGAGCCGGCGCATCAGGGGGCGCGGCAAACGGCGAAAACGGCGCCCCCGCACGCGCCGCAGGGGCGCCCTAAATCCCAGGATATTGGCTGGGGAGGGGAACGCGCTCGCGCGCGCGCCGCGCCAGCCGGCGGGCGCTGCATGAGGTGCCGCGGCCTTGGATGGCCGGCGGCAGAGACGTGGCATGGCGGGAGAGTTGGCAGTGCTGCGAGGGGGCTGGTGGGGGCTCCAAGACGGGGAGATGATGGGGAAGGGTCGGCCCACGATGGTGGGGAAGGGTGCCGTCTCGTGCAGAGCCATCCATGAGCGCAACGGCGCCGCACGCACGGGGTCGCGCACGGCCGGCGCTGCGTTGCCCCCGTTTTGCTCTCCCAGCGGCTGCGGCCGCGGCAGCGCGCGACGCGGCCGGGGCCGCGGCGGGCGCGGCCCGTCCGTTGGGCGGGGCGCCTCGCGCGCGGTGGCCCTCGGCGGCTATAGACGGCGGGGCCTTATGGATTGAAAGGAAGCGGAGACAGCTGCGGCAGGGGAATTCAAAGGGGTTTGCGAAGAATCAGCGCCGCAGATCGTCACGGCCGGATTGAGGATGGGCGAACGGGAGGGTGGGTGCGCAAGTTGGGGAGGTGTGGGGCAGGCGCCCGGGTAATCAGGCGGCTCTACGACGGGGCAGCAGAGGGGGCCGCGGCGCAGCGCGGGCCGCCGCTCTGCCGTGGACGCATGGGTGGGTTTCAGGCCAGCCAGTAAACACATGCGGCGTGGCGAACGAAGGCGCGGGTCGAGGGCAAGGCGTTGGCTTAGGCCCTGGCGGCCGGGCCCGCCACGTCAGCTGTGGGCCGCCGCGGCTCGGGCCACGGGGGAGCCGGGGATCGGGGGGCTGCGGGGGGCCCTTGTGACTTGCTGGTGCTGGTGCTGGTGCTGGGGCTGGTGCTGGGGCTGGGGCTGCGGTAGCGCGGCGGGCTGGGGCGGGCAGCCATGCGGGGGGCGGCGCCCTGGCGGCGCCTGCGGATGCGGCGACCAGGCCGCCGGGGGCGCGAGCGCGCCCGGGTTGGCGTGCACGAGAGGCGGCGGCGGCGGCGACGCCAGCTGCCCAGACGCGTGTGCGGCTGGCGCCGATGGTAATGAGCGCCCCGCACC